TCTCTCTCTGTGTGTGTGTGTGTGTGTGTGTGTGTGTGTGTGTGTGTGTGTGTGTGTGTGTGTGTGTGTGTGTGTGTGTGTGTGTGTGTCTCACCTGTCTTCCAGGTTTGGTGGAGTTTGTTCCGCTGCAGACGACTCCTTCCCAGCTGCATGCATCCGTCTTCGCCGTCCATGATTGAAAGAACTGCGGAACAGCACCGCTCTCCTGGTGGAGACTGTTGCGGATATCCTCTAACGCCTTTTGCTGGCCTGTATCAAGCCATGCAACTGCCTTTCCAGAGAAAAGAGAGAGGAGGACTAGTAGCAGTAGGAGGGGGAGGCGAAACTTATGTACAAGCAGGCGGAAGGTCACAGCAAAATTTCCAATATGTAGTACATTGCCGCTGCAGCCTCGACCACGCGGCATTTGACGCAACATACAGGTGTCCGCTGTATTGCGCTTGCATCAATACGGCAGCGCATCTGCAAACAGGCACGAATTGCGCACCACCGCGTCACACCACGAGACAATCAGTGAGGAGAAAAAAGACATCGAAACAAAACCCATCACAGCAACAACCACAGCGAAACAGTAAGGAAAAACACTGGGAGAGAGAGAGAGAGAGAGAGAGAGAGAGAGAGAGAGAGAGAGAGAGAGAGAGAGAGAGAGAGAGAGAAGCTTTGGTGAACCACCAGCAGTGCACTTCTATTTTCTTTTTCTGCCTGTGCTGCATTTTTATTTTCTTTTCCGGCTTGTGCTGCCAGCCATAATTGTGGTCCGATAGCCCCGAGCCTCCGAAATTTTAGTGGTAGGCGATTAAGAAATCTTGCAAGGCTTGCATGCTGCCGTGGTGGTTCAGACCACCGGTACGGTTCCCAGCTACTTTTTCAGAGTTGCGGCTTGCATGCTGCCCTGCAACTTCGGGAGCTCAGCCTCCGGAACGAAATAGCTGGTGGCGCCAGCCAAAAGGGATGCCCACGCCGGGTCGTCTTTTTTTTGGCGCGCAGGGCGTTTCCTCTGCCCCGGAGTAAAGTGCCTCGGAACGGAAGTATGGTGGTTTAAACCACCAGTACGTCCTAGAGTCGTGTCCGTTAACGCACCGCGATTTTAGGAAATGTACGGGCTACTATAGGAGCGCCCAAATTCATCCGATTAGAAACGTTTCTACTCTTTTTTTGTCCGCGGCCCATAGCTGGGCCAAGTGATGGTGGTTTAAGTGGGCAGTTGCCAGCGGTTGGATTGGGGTGGGATGGAGATTCGATTTGCTGCCCCGACTTGCTCAGGCTTTTGGCCGACGCCAGACACTGTTGATGAACTTGGCCGTTGTCAAGCATGCAGTTTTTGTTTTTGGGGGGGCGGGCGGGGGGCAGAAGGGGGGCAGTCATCATGCAGGTGTTTTCTAATCGTTGCTCGCTCGTCAAGCTGTGCCTACAGCGTCCTGGGGTTCTCGGCAGAACTGCTAAAGCGTCTGCTCTGATTTTTATTTTTTTTTGTTTTGTTAAGAATAAAAGATACAGCTGTCTTCTCCTCATATGGGGGAAAGCTGTTTTTTTTTTATATAATAAATCTGCCTTATTTTCTTCTCTCTTGCCTCGCGCTAGCTATCCCTAGACAAACAACACAGAGAGGTAAGGTCTGCCTCCTTACCTCTCTGTGTTGTTTGTCTGGGCACTCAAATCGAAGACGTGCAGCATTTCTGTCCGCAATGACTCTGCATTGTGATTTGCCACACCCGATTTCGGGCGTGGCGGAGATCTTCCGCCCGGTGCCTCACACAGCTACGCACAGGACCGATGCTTTTGTGCTTCTGGGACCGGTTGTCAGTCGAAGCCGATTTGTGTCACGCCTCCTGTGTCTCGTGCAGAAGAGTCGTTGCAAGGGACCATCCTTTTGCGACCGATGCTTTTGCGCCGATTTGTGTCACGCCTCCTCTGTCTCGTGAAGAAGAGTCATTGCAAGGGACCATCCTTTTGCGACCGATGCTTTTGCGCTTCCGGGACCGATGATTTCTTTGGCACTTTTCGGACCGATTCTTTTGCACTTCTGGGACCGGTTGCCACTTTGCACCCCCCTGCAGTGCCGCTGCAAGGCCTGCGGCGTGCCTCACCCCGCCCATGGCACGGGCCGATATCATACCACCAGCACTCATCTAGCTATTGATGCCGAGCCTAAATTCGCAGGCCTGCTTTTGGCTGGCGCTGCCAGCCATTGTGGTCCAGTACCCGAACCCCCGAAAAATGTGGCCATTGATGAGCCGCAAACTTGGTTTTCAAGCGCGAAAAGGAAAAGGTACACCAGTACCTTACGAAGCACTCCTCCAAGCCTTTTTTTTTTTTTTCCAAGCTTTTTTTTTTTTTTTTTTTTTGAGTTACCAAACCTCTTCGTTTCGAAACGAGCAGCTGGAGAAAAGCAGTGCTTCAGTGGGTAACCGGTCCTTCAATGTTGAGGGACCCGTACTTCTAATTGGACTGTTTTTTTTGTTGATGGGCGTCTCTAATCTAATTAAATTAGATTGGAATATAATGTCGGCCGACCGTATATTTGAACACAGAACAGCTCCCTAGGTTGGATTCGAACCAACGACCCAATAGATAGGGTAAGCAGTGTGTGTAATCTGACTAAGCTTCCCTCCGAACCGTGCGTGCAAGATTTCCAAGCACACGGTTCTCCATCAGTTTGGCAAGACTACTGACTGTTTCCCTTCCTTTTTTTTTTTTTTTCGCTTCCTTTCTTCTTTCCTTTTCTTTTTTTTTTCTCTTTCACCCCCGTTTTTTATGCCTGAGAGAGGGCATTCCCGAGAATGTGCAACAGAGGAAAGAAACGAAAGAAAAAAAAAGGAAACAAAAGTATGGCCGTGATAGCCCCTCCAAATGGCACCGACCGATTGGCACGTGGTGGACCAATTGGCACGCAGAGACAAGTGGCACTGAGTGATTGTGAGTCCCACCTGAGTCTTACAGGGGAACCGAGCGATCGGCACGTGGACAAGTTGTTGGAATGAGAAGATAGGCTAGACTTGTAGGAGCCAGGAAGTCAGACGGGTGTGAAAGGAAAAAAAAAAAAAAAGATGGGTGTGCAAGATGCCAGTAGGGAGTTTACATCGTCATCGTGTTGACGACTGGAGGCGTGTGGAATGGCTTTCTTTATCCAAAGACTTCGGTGTATTACTCTTTCCTATGTGGTGTGGATTTCGTTTGATTTCTGCTTTCAATTTCAATTTGCCGCAATTGCGTCTGATCTTCTGCGAGATGCCGCAATTTTTTTATTTTTTTTTTATTTTTTTTTGGAGAGATGCCGCAATTTGGCTTTTATTGATGTTCTCTTTTTTTCCTTTCTTTTTCTTTTTTTATCTAGGCTTCCATATTGCTGTTCCTTCTTTTATATATTTTTTTTCAAAAAAAAAAGCTACGTTCTTCTCTCAATTTCACCTCACACTACCTACCTACTTGTTTCCTTGCAGGTGGGCCATGCCAACCATATAGCGTTAACAAAAGATCGCAAACAGGTGGGTCCCAAACAGAATCCGAAGCTGGTTCTTTTCCTTCGAAGCTTGTTTTAGTAGAGGTAGAAAATTTCTTTTTTTTGCCAAAAATAAAAAATAAAAAAATAAAAAGGGCAACAACCTTTAAATATCATCCTTGCCTTGACCGGGGCCCCAGGCAATTCAGAAAATGATTTTACTCTTTTTTCATCTGAAGGTATCAGGG